GACGACTAACATTATACATTAATTATGTGGGCTGATTTTGAGTTTGTATAATTAGCCACGTTTGTATATGTATAATTCGCCAGAATATACAAATACATATGTATAATATACAATTATCTAATTGATATACATATACAATTCACCTCTCTCCCATTCTCTGCCCTCTCTCGCTCGCCTCCCTCTCCCAATCTCACTCACCTCTCTCCTCCCTCTCCCAATCTCGCTTGAATATATACAAATGCATATGTATAATATACAATTATCTAACCGATAAAAATATACAATTCACCTCTCTCCTTCCTCTTCCAATCTCGCTCGCCTCTCTCCTCCCTCTCCCAATCTCTCTTGCCATATATACAAATACATATGTATAATATACAATTATCTAACCGATATACATATACAATTCACCTCTCCCCCACTCTTTTCCCTCTCTCTCCTCTCTCTCCCAGACTCGCTCGCCTCTCTCCTCCCTATAACATTTAGCTACGAATTGTAATTATCAAACTATAGCTATGGAGAGTAATTATGCTATTTTTGAGTGGCTATATGTGAAAGTTCCTCTTTTTAATAATCTATTTTATTTTTATTTTTTAATTAAATTTTATTTGGCCCATGGGCCGGCCCTATCAATATTTCTCAATCCCCATAAATCGGTAGGCTTAATTAGGTCGAGCTAAAAAACCCTTTTCTTAAATGGGTTCCAATAATCGTAGTCCAGCCCTATCAAATCACAGGTTAGGTCAGGCTGGCCCAACGAGCTAGCCCATATTGACGGCTCTAAAAAAATGTATAGTTTCCTTAATGTATGATTATTAGAAACTGATGAATATCATTTATTATCTTTCAATATTACTAGTAAAATCAAAATATTCACTAACTTATCATTTATTATAGGCATAATACATGAATATACCTTTTAATTTGACTTTATTTGACATTTATGCCGTACAACTTTGGTACGCATAACTAAACACTTAAACTTGTATAAAATTGAACAAGTAGACACACACGTCCTATATGACTTAATACAAGCATGATGCCTCTTATGATACAAAATTGTCATGTAGGACGAATGTGTCTATTTGTTCAATTTTATATAAATTTAAGTGTCTACTTATACGCACTCAAAATTGGAGGACATAGATGCTAACTAAAACAAAGTTAAATGATATATTTATGTATTATGCATTTCCTATATCTATATATAAAGAAATAAAGTTTCCACTAAAGTTGTTCCGAATTTTTATAAATACACCTTAACTTAGAGGACATCCTATTACCTCACAAAAGTATTGAATATCTTTGTAAAAGGACCATTTGACCCATTTTCTCTACTGTGAACAGACGTGTGGTGCTCACTCATTTTATTAATTTAATTTATTTTAATTTCTTCAAATCCGACCCGACCCAAATCGTTTCAAAAAAGAAAACTCTTGTTCTTCATTTTTCATTTCTTAGTTTCTTTCATCATTTTCTTCAATCATAGGCATTGTTGAAGATCATCTCCTACAATTTTGATGTTTTTTGGTCAAATTTCTTGGAAGACTAGTGGAGTAAACAATGAATTGAAGATTAACAGGTTAGAATAGTAACAATAGCAAATCGTTTTAGCTACAAACTAAAACCCTCATCGGCATGTATATCGGAAAAGCTGTTTGTGGTTTCAATGACAAAGAATAATTTGTTGAAATCGATAGTAGTGGTATTCGAAGTCATGTCTTTTGAGTGGCTGGCGATTGGGCTTGTTTTCAAACCATGGCTTGATAAAACCCAAGCTTCAATGACAAGTGTCAGAAAGATCTTGCGACCCCGATGATGATGCCGCTGATCAACGTCCAAAAGCTGGCAAGTCTCAGGTCGATGTTGATCCTCTAGAAAAAAACAACTGATTTGAAAGTTTGGTTTGATTTTTGGGTTCTCAAAATTAAATGAAATTAAGAAGAAATGAAATCTTGGACAACTTTAAATTAGCTTTTTCGATTGGAAATTAAAGCGAATTCCTACCTTATTGAGTTGATTTCATCAGTTCATCATAGAGTACCTATGACTCTGTTGTTGGGGAAGCTGATGAATTTGAATGGAGTAAATAATTAATAAAGAAAATAACTTAAATGTGGCAGTTTTTAATTGGTTTTTGGCATTAAAAACAGACCTTCATGTGCGTGTTCACAAACATAATGAGAAAATGGGTCGAAATGGTCCTTTTACAAAAATATTCAATACTTTTATGGGGTAATAGGACGCCCTCAAAGTTAATGTGTCTTATTAAAAATTCGAAACAACTTCAATAGTGATTTTATGTCTTTTCTCTCTCTCTCTCTATATATATATAAGATTAGAATACGATAAAATAAAATTACAGCTAATGAAAACCAAAACTAGTTGTATTCGTATGTATACGTTGAAACATTAAACTACATATAGTTAGGGTGTCGATATTCCAATTTTTTCATGTCATATTGATTGATCAATTTTTTTGAAAGATACTTTCATTAAAGAAAATCAAATCTCTTAAAAATAAGGAAAATAACTTTTTTTAAAATTAATTTTTGGTGGAGCTCTGCTCAATGCTCCTTTATTAACTCAAAATATGTACAAAAAGGTCGAGACCAAAACGAAAACAACAAAATGAAAGTTCAATCCCAACAAAATTTCGCCTTGCCCAGTCCGTTAAGGGAACCAGTTAGACTCTTCTATTGTTTCCTTAGTGAAAGTACAAAAAAATAACTTTTTTTTAAATTTAATTGGGACAATCCCATTTATTAAAAAAGAACTGCACAAAAATGGCCAGGCCCAAAATAGAGCCAGTCCAAACAAACACTCCTACCAAATCACTAAATATGGAAAAAAGGAAACTAAAATTTGACAAAAGGGAAAGATGTAGGTGAAATCGGAACTTCAGCCATCGTCTTCTTCGTCTGAGCTCTTGCAGCAGAGGAAAAGCTTGACTCTTTCACCATTGGATTACAACCATTGTTGTGTAGAGGTAAGATTTGGATACAATTTGAGTTTTGGGGTATTTCAAATCGAGCATTGTAGATCCCACCAACGCCACAAAATCGTTCTCACCGGAGACTTCGCCAACTCAACTATTTCCAGGTCTACTCTACTTAGAAAATGTGTATTCCGATTTTTCTTGTACCAAAACTTGTCGTACCAATTTAGCTCACTACATCATCCTTCTTCACCCTCGACAGCTTGAGCTCAACAAGGAACTAATACCACTGCCTAAGGATTTAGAAAGAGCGCTATATTGAACGAAACCAGGTACACTGCTCCCATTTTCTATTAATTTCACGTATTATCAATGTAATCGATCAACTACTACCAGTTCATTTGCTTCTTGATGGATTTTGAATTATACCATCTTATTTGCCAATTGAGCAACTTGATTTTGTTTATCCTCCCTCAATTCTAAAATTCCCATTCTGGAAGTGTTTGATTCTGTGGTTTGGTGTCTGACTCTTATCCATGTTTAGTAATGTCTTCGCCTTTTTGGGTAAATCTTGAAAGGTGTTAAACGATATTATCTCAGTACCTACAAAAGAAAAAACTAGATTAGCTAAAAAATCCGCCATTCTGTTGCCCTCCCTCAATGTGTGTTCAATGACCACCTCCATCCCTTTCATGAGCTCTTGAATTATTCTAATCTCCAAAGAAACTTCCCAAGGTATATCCCATGAACCATCAATCATATTCTTAAAAGCTTGAGAATCGGTCTCCAGTGTTAAAGGGAATAAATTATTCACCCTGCAGTATTCTTTACCCATTCTCCAAGCCACCACCTCTGCCACCAAGTTATTAGCTATGCCAATCCTTTTTCCTTCAGCATAAATAAGATCCCCCTGGTCATTTCTTATGCAGAAACACATGAGCTAGGACCAAGATTACCTTTCAAAGCTCCATCAGAATTACTTTTATATTCTCCCCTTCAAGGCATCTTTCGATACACAACTTTACAACTAATTTTAGGGGTATAATTTGTTAAAAAGCTTATCAAATCCGACCAATTATCATGTATGTTGTGCTTCCATGGATATAGGGACTTGCCAGGAAAAATAAATTCCTGGTTATTTCCCTACTCATATTTAAATAAGACATCTTCCCTCCATATCTAATTATGTTTTTTCTCTTCCACACTTGCCACAAAATAAACATAGGTATAACTTTTAAGATAGGAATGAGTTTTGTTGATGCATCTGTGTTCCACCATTTGTAAACACTGTCTTTTAGGTCACGAAAGAGCCCTCAACTCCTACTGTATTAGCAAAGTATCTTCATAATGAGTTGGACATTGTACATCTACTAAATAGATTTCAATAGACTCCTGCACTCCTTCATCACAACAAACATACAATACATCTTCACAAATCTTGTACAAAATTAAAACTTCCCCTATAGGTATCCTGTTTCTCTAAAGTCTCCGTATGGAAAAAAAAACACCTTGAAAGGGATCCCTTTCATCCAGATAAGCTTGTAGTTCATACACAACTCACTTTTATCCCTCAAATACTCCAAGGCAGAACTCACTGAAAACTTTCTAGCAGCATTTAGCATCCACCAAGGTTTGTCCTAGTGATCTATGTCCTCTGTACAACTCAACTGTTGAATGATATGATTGCTAATATCCTCCTCAAAATTGACATGCAGCATACCATAATTCCACTCTACTTGTGTAAAACATTGACTAACCTCCTCAAGATGAGTATCCCTAGTTGCATAAATAGGGAGAAAATAGTGGAGGCCCCCCAAATTTGTCCAATTATCATACCAGACACTTTAGTGACCACATTTAGGTTCCCACCATATTTGTTGATCAAACATTTCTCTAGACTCCAACATCTATTTTCATGTTAGTGAACCACCTTTCCATTCCACCACCTGGGCCCTCTCCCCTTTATAGTACTTATTCCACATAAAGTTAGTCCATAAGGACTTTTCTGTTCTAAAAGTCCACCACAATTTTGCACAAAGAGCCTTAGATACATCAAAAAGGGATCTAAACCCCAATCCACTTTCTTCTTTGTTATAGATGTCACTCCAAGCCACCCAATGCCTGTTTCTTCTTGTAGCCCTGAAATTCCACATAAATATAGCAAACACTCTATGTAAATCATGAATCATACAACTTGGAGTATTAATAGAAGACAGGAGATAAATAGGGATACTATTGAGAACATTTTTAATCAAAATTGTTTTACCCCCAAAAGAGAGCATCTTACTCTTCCGAGTTTGAAGCTTATTGAGAACTTTTTTCATTAATTCAGCAAAGTGCACCTTTCTCTTTTTATCACTTCTAATAGGACAACCCAAATATATCAGAGGGAACTTACCTTTAGCAAAAGCAGTCTTCACTTCAATCTCTGTAATCAAATTCTGGGTAGTCTTATGATAGACAAAGAAGGAACTCTTCTCCTTATTAATCATCTGCCCTGATTGTGCCTCACAATCTTTTAAAATTTGCATCAACATATTAAGTGATTTCCCATCAGCAGAGGTAAAAATAATAGTATCATAAGCATAAGCTAGATGATTGATGTTGTCACTACACTTAGGTAATCCATAACTCATATAAGCTTCATTGCTGAACAATGAATTAAGAGCTCTTGTTAACACTTTAGTAGTTAAAATAAGCAAGGCAGGAGATAAATGATCCCATTGCTTCACTCCCCTTGAAGACTGAAATAAACCATGAGCTTGACCATTTATAAGAATAGAATACCAATTGTTAGCAACCAGCCTCCAAATCTTATCTACTTCAACGGAATCAAAATACATCTTCTCCATCACTTTAATAAGAAAATTCCAGTCGATTCTATCATAAGTCTTAGCCATGTCCAACTTGATCACCACATTAGCTGGCTTACCCCTTTTCCTGATATCTGTAATAATTTCCTGAGCTAGTAGAGCATTCTCAGTGATGCTTCTCCCCTTTACAAATCCTGATTGATTTTATTAAATCAGAAAAGGGAGAAAACTACCCAGCCTATCATCACCACCCTGGAAATAACTTTGTTGATAAAATTTCTCAAGCTAATTTGCCTCATGTCTAAGAAAGATTGAATAACTTCCTTTTTTGGCAAAAACATCAAATTAGTATGTGTGATGGACTTAGGAAGAGTGCTACCCTGAAAGAAGGCACCTACCACCTCAACCACATCATCTCCAACAATATGCCAGCATTTTTGATAGAATTGACCAGTAAACACATCAAGGCCACGTGCACTATCTCCATTTAACCCAAACACCCTCTTGATTTCCTCCTTAGTAGTCATTGCATTGAGAATTCTTTTATTTTCCTCAAAAACAACTCTATGGATATTTTGCATTAATGACACTTCTCTTTCATTTTGATCCCCTGTGAATTGATTCTGATAAAATTCTTGAGCAGATGCTGCAATTTGCTCTGAACCTTCCACCTATGATCCCTCCATATTTTAAATCCTGGTAAAAGCCAACCTCTTTCTCCTTCCTTAACTAAGTTGTGGAAAGACATAGTATTCTTCCCCCCTTCTGTATACCATTGGATTCCTAAATTTTGTCTCCAAAACTCCTCTTCATAGTGTATATAGTTCTTCAATTCTTCTTGAGCCTGCTGAAGAATCATTATGTTATCTGCTGAAGGATCTTCTACAAATAGTTCTTCCTTCACCTTAACTATTTCTTCTCTAATAGATAATTGCTTGAAAATATCCCTAAATGTAGCTTTACTCCAATTGGAAAAAAGCTACTTTAGTTTTTTTTCCAACTTATGCTTGAGCCTAACAAACACATCCTCCTCTTCTGAAGCTACCCAACTGTCATTCACCACCTGCAGAAAATCATCCCTTTCTTACAATGTTAGTCTGTTGACCACAAGTGAGCAGTAAATGAGCATGATCAGAACCTGTTCTTGCTAAATGCTCAGATTCCACATACCAAACTTTCTAATAAAAGACTGATTCATCAAATATCTATCAAATCTTTTGAAGATACACTCACAATTAATCCTACCATTCCACCATGTGAATGGACTTCCTTTAAAATTGATACCCACCAATTCACACAAATTTACACAAAATGCAAAATCCTCATATTCATTAGGATATACTGGAAGACCCCCAATTTTTTCTTCCTCATTTATAATGATATTAAAGTCACCCCCAATCAACAAGAGAGAATCATTGATTTAACTACTAATCTGATAGATATCATTCCACAGATTCAATCTTTCTATTGCTTCACACTTTGCATACACAATTGAAGCCATCATTAGTTGATCTGTTTCTAGAAATTGGAGTCCCAATGATAACATTTGTTCTAAATCAGCTAACACTTCCACCTGAACATGCTCCTGGATAAAGACCCAAATTTTACCATTGTATTATAATTAGCATACTCCATGCCCAACTTCCCTTTGTACTTTTAGATTCTATTAACACTTTGAAATGGCTCCATCAAAGCTATAATAGGGAACTTGTGATGTCTATGCAATATTTGAATTCTATGGAATGAATTTTGAGTTCTAACAGACCTCACATTCCAGAATAGTGTCTTCATCATCATTTAGCGCAATTCTTGACACCCAACCTAGGGTTGGTTCTTATGGGTAAAGCTTCACCTCTATTTTTTCCTTTACTCTTTGATGTTGTAGGGGGAGATAATTTGTATGTACCTTTTCTGCTATTAGTAAGTTACTAACTTCCCCTTTATCTTCTATCAAACTGACTTTTGTGTAACTCTTATTTTTTTTTCTCCTCTATTTGTCCCTGATGGGAGACTAATTCATGCAGGGTCTGAGTATGCTGCAATTTTGGGCCAACAGCAACTAGCAGCTGCTGATTGGGAACCTTCTATGTATCCTTCAATAGAACCTGATCTGAATATTTAGATGGATACCATCCAATATTGGGTCTACTATGTGCATCGGGATATGGTAAGTGGCATGTTCCAAAACATTTTGTGTATCTAGAGCCTCATTCTCTCCATGTGTCGTGTCAATCAAAGTTATTTATGTTGTGTACCCTTTGTCCATGACTTCATTCCTGGCATCCATTATTTCATCATAGTGTTCTGGTTTACTATCTCTCAGCACTATATGACATGCATTACTCTGAACATTCTATTTTACTATTTCCCTTCTTGATACGTTGTTGTGATCGCTTCCTTTTCCTTGTGCCGAGGTAGCTAGTGTTGTGTTGTCCCCTGCTATCCATTTTCCTCCTTGTTCCTTATTATGTATTAATCCTTCTTCCATAATGGCTGCTTCATCATGCTCATGTTGATTAAACACATTAAAAGAATTGTTGGTACTGATGTTCTCATGTCTTTCTACAGCCTTTTCTCCCATTATTTGTCCCGCCTTCTTTGTAAACACCCTTGTGGTGGGCTTCCATTTACTGATCACTGCTCCTTTATAAAACTACATTTTGTAAAGTTGTTGTGGTATGATTGCTTCCTTCTCGTGTTGTTTCTCCTGTTGTAATTCTGGATGCAATATCATGCACTCCTCCTCTTTGTGACCCTGAATTCTACATTTCTTGCAATATGATGGGAGTGAGTCATAAAGTATTTTAACTTTAATGATTTTAATATCCTGATTATTGTTATTTTCTATCTGCATTTGAACATATTGAGGATTGTCCACTAGCAAATCCAGTTGAACCTTCACCCTTGCACAACTTGTCCGAGTCTTGTTGATTGTTGCAAGATTTAGGTGCAATGGTTCCCCTACTATTGCCTCTAACGAGAACAATACCTCCTTCACAAAGAAAGTAGGAAGGATATCTTGGAAAGAGATCTAGGTTGTGGCTTGCGAGGTTTGTTCACTTGCCTTGAAGATTGCACCATATATGAACGGGCGCATTTGATATGCATAACCATCTTTGGCTATTATGTAATACGAGTTTTTGGATAACATACTAATGTAATCTTTAATCCTGTTAAACCTCATTAGAATGTGTCTACTCCGCAGGTGGCTGATGAGTCCACGAATTGGACTCATTTAGGGCTTTATTTTAATAAAAATAGTATCCTCAAATGCTTATTTATTCTAAATATCTGATGAAAACACTTAAGTTTCAGGTATTTGAAGTTTTAGTGGAAGCATGGACACTTAGGCGCAAGAAGGAACAAAAAGGCTGAAAAGAATGAAGAAGCTGAAGCCTGAGCATCGCCAAGCACGCTTGGCGATTTGCCGAAGGGACGCACTCCGCCCTTTGTTCCAGTGTGCTGAGCCCTGAAGGAAAGGATGAAGTCGGCAGAAAAAGGAGCAGTCGGCGCATCACCGAGTAGTTCCGTGAAGCCGTACTATGTCGCCCAATGACACAGAGCAAAACGATGTTGAAGGTTGGTGCAAGACGGCGACGAACTACACCAAAGGGCGAATCACCGAGTTAATCAGCGATTCTGACTAACCTCACCAAGCAATCCGCCAACACTATTTTCTGAAATCTATAAATACTAAACTCTTTATTAATTTTAAAAGAGAGTCGAACAATTATAATAATTTTCACATAAAATAATACTTTTTGCTATTTTTGCTCTAAGCTTGAAACGGTTTTGGAGACTTGAAGAAGAAGAGTGTTTCATCTTCTAGATTTGGAGTTGGGTCTCTTGTATTCTTTATTCTTGGTCTGTAACAAGACTTAAATCTTCATACCTATTTGAATGCAAACTCATTTAGGTATAAATTTATATCTCTTGATGTGTGGCTAAAACCCCCCATTCTTGGGGTGTGATTTAGCAAATATGTGTTGATATTATTGTTGGGTCTTGTTTGCTGATATGTTATATGTATTTTAATGGTGATTTCATCTAGTGGTTGTGGTTTAATTTAATGGGTTTGTAGTTGCAAATACAAAACCATCCATGTGTTTTCAGCTTGCTTGAGAGAGAGGTCGCGAAACCAAGACCGCTAGGTTGATGGCCTAAGGAGTGGGTCGACATGAGGTTCAGCCCGAGAGGGTGAGCCCTAGTCCCATATCCTAACACTCAGCTCGAGAGACTGAGTGGGGTAAGGCATAGGCTGGCCTTCATGCGGAAAATGGTTGTCCGAGAGGAACCCATTTGAAACGGGGTAAGTTTCCCGAGAGAGAACTTATTTCCATCTAAAGCGTAGCCTAGTCACAATTAACTTACAAATTTCCTATTGAAAGCATGTACTCAACGATTTATATCAATATATATTGCAGTCACTCCCCAAGAACTTTTCCCCATACTTGATCTCCCCTTTAAATTTTGTTGTTTTTATTACACTTGTGACAAAACCCCCATTTGTTAATTGACACTTTTTGTCACGCCCTTGATTTACTATGTTTTACTCGTTAATGTCTTTAGCTATGACACTAACCCAACCCTTGGTTGGGTTACTATATTATCGACGATCGTAGACACTCGTACCGTAGGTTAGTGTCGTTGGTCACGATAAGCATCAGTGGCCAATCTTGTAATCGCCTACAATGCCACAATATTTTGGTATCAACTCCCGTAATTCTACAATATCAATTGCCGCGTATGAGAATTTTTCTACAACAACATAGTGTAAATTCTTGATATATTCATCTTGTGCACTTTATTTTTTATGCATTTAACGGTATGAATACCACCAAGGATGTCTGATTTCTTCATAGGGATAGGATCTACATCCACCTTATCTTTAATATCCTTGTCTTTGAAACCATTATGCCTAATAATATCTAAACATTTATTCTTGGCCGTTGTCAATAACTCCAGGTTAGATGTTCTAGGGGTTTGTAAAGAGTTGGTTTTGATCGGGAGGGGAAGGAATTGTGATGATGAAGCTAAACTCAGGCCAGCCATCGCCGGTGGCTGGCCGTCGACCGGAATCATGAACACTGTTAGGTTTAGGGTGGCTCATTCGCTTGCTTGTCGTTTTACTATCTATTGCTTCTCAGCCCTATTAGTCTATCTACTAGCTTGTTGCTATTCATATTCTTTATAAACTGGGGAAAAGAAGATCAAGTCTTAAAAAAATATGTTTTACATGTGGTATTCTGCATTAATTATGTCCTCTGAATCCAAAGGTGAATCTAAGAGTTCATTTTCGAAGCGCACACTCACTTACATGGGGGGGGGGGGGAATCCACAAGTTCTATAATTTTTTGCAATTGGTAATATCGTTAGTTTTATTTTATATATTTTTTTAGTCAGATATGATTTTTTTAACGAAATAAAACTATATAAAATTTCAAAGAATCACCTTCTCTTTTCTCCCGCACAACCCTTTTCCAATTTGATTACTTGACTTTTAATTTTTCAATACAATGAACAATATATCACGTACGTTATGGTTCAAATGGGGCAGTCGACTTTTACCATCTTAAGTTTTATTATGAAATGAATTGATTCTTTTTACATTTGAGACATTTTGTTGATACTTAGAAGCTATTAGAAAATATCAATTCTAGTATACTTAGTTTCAACTTATTACAGTTTGTACATTATATATATATATATACATATATATATATAGAGAGAGAGAGAGAGAGAGAACTTAGCATATTGTAAGGACAGAAGACTCTACACAGATGAAATAAAAGATTCTTTTTCTCTCTCCATTCCACTAACTCCATGGAAAGATATCTCAATTTCTCTTTCGAATCTGTAGTATAATATAGTATCACAGTGGGTGACTGTGCAACTCTTCACCTCAGCTTTGAGTAATGCTACCCTTGCTACAAATTTTTTTCTTCAATTTTTTTGGAGTCTCGCCAACCCACATATAAGAAGTTAGGGTTTCAGAATACTATTGATTTCTAGATGACGACGAAGGTTTTCTGATCTGCTATAGAATATTTTCTTCCGTTGCTGAAGTGTTTTGGTATTGTGTTCCTATTCATTGATCGATTTTGCCTAGTCTACTTGTTTCTGTTTCTTGCTTGCGAAATGTCAGATTCTTCATCTACGACTGCACCGGGTATGGGAGTTGGAGGAGGAGCATGTTGATAGGACTCTCTTGTAAGAACAAATTAGGTCTTATCAATGGAACCCTACGTAGACCAACTCCAAATACTCCTCTTTTCGAGCCATGGACAAGGGCCAATGATATGTTCCTTGCTTTGTTGTTGAATAGTCTTGAGCTTGAGATTAGGGAGAGTGTCGTGTATATCGATTTCGCAGATAAGTTGTGGTTAGGAAAAAGATTGCTTCCATTACCCAAGGGTCTTCAAATATTGCTTCCTATTTTTTCAAAATCAAGAAATTATGGGATGAACTTGCATATTCACTTACATATCCTGATTGCACATGTGGTTGCAAAGAAGCTTTTCAAAAGATGAAAGAGGAACAAAGTTTACATCAGTTGTTGATGGGTTTAAATGAGATTTATTCAGGAGTTGGGAGAAACATTTTGATGCTTAAACCACTTTTTGATGTGGATACTACCTATTCTATGTTAATTAATGATGAGAGTCATCTTGAAGCGCATACTATGACTCTTTTTTTTAACACAGATGCTGCTTCTTTTTATGCTGGGGGTACACAAGCCCCCTTATCCTCCTAGGCCTCAATATCCACATAAGGTTATTTTTTACAACAAAAGGAACAATATTTTTTGTCGCTATTGCAAGAAACCTGGTCATGTTATTGGAAATTGTAGGAAGTTACAACATCAAAATGTTTCTCAGCCTAACCAGCATAATTCTCATAACAACACCCCTGCAACTTCCACTTCATATAGGAGGTCTGTTGTTGCTTCTGTCAGGGTGTTGATTCACACTCTGATGTGAAGTCTGAGGTTTCAGGGAAGTCGAATCAAGCTAATTCTTCTAATGTGGCTCCATTTTCACCAGATCAGTTGACTCACATGATGAATATGTTACGCAAATGAAGAATACGTTCCTTGACCAGAATGGAACTGACTCTGCCATCTATGCAGGTTTAGTGAGCATTTCTGATTTTACAATTTTTTGTTTTTTTACTTGTCACATGTCTAGGATAGTGGATAATCCTTGGATCATAGACTCTCAGGTTCTAGTAATCACATGACCTCGATTAAATCTTTCCTCTTTCCTCAATGACATCACTCCTCTTCCTATTCCTTATCTCATTACTTTGCCTAATGGTTATATGGTAAAAGTTACTTGTACTGGAATACTTACTCTGTCCCCTGACTTAGTGTTAACAAATGCTCTTTATGTGCCTTCTTTTCAGTATAACATGATTTCTGTACATAATTTATTAGTCCAATTCAATTGTGGATCTTACTTCACTACTTCTACTTATGTTCTATAGGGCTCTTCTCTGAAGAGGCCACTGGAGCTTGGTAAAGTGTCTCAAGGGCTCCATATTTTTCATCCCAAGTCTCTTAATACTTCCCATTATGTAAATTCCATTGCGGCTACTAATTGTGTTGATAATAAAGTTGCTGCTACTTCTACTACTTCTATTGACAATAACACTCTTGTGTTTCCGATTCTGTTCAAATGTCTACATGCATGCCTTCTTTTGTTTGTTCTTTTGTTCAGAGTGATCTTGCTTTACTTTGGCATTTGAGATTAGGCCACATGCCTTATCATTAGATGAAATCAATTGCTTATATGAATGCTCAATTACCTAAGAAACAAGACTTCATTTGTAAAGTGTACCCTATGGTTAGACAACAAAGACTAGCATTTCCTAAAAGTTCCATCAAAACATCATTCCCTTTTCAACTCATTCACATTGATCTTTGGGGACCCTATCACACCCAAACTTACAATGGCTATAAACATTTTCTTACCATAGTGGATGCTTTTTCCAGAGCTACCTGGACACACTTATTGTCTACTAAGTCAAATGCCTTTTCCATTATCAAATCTTTCATCCTTGTGGTTTAGACTCAATTTCATACTACAATTCAAACTATAAGATCTGACAATGTTTTTGAGTTGGGTTCTAGCACTGAAGCATCTTTTTGCTTTTCTTCTCTTGCCATTTTCCATCAAACATCTACTCCTCATACCCCACAATATAATGATGTTGTGGAAAGGAAACACAAACACTTATTAGAGACTACTCGATCTCTGTAATTTCAATCCAAACTTCCTATTAAATATTGGGGTGAGTGTGTCGTTACTTCTTCTTATCTTATTAACAGATTCCCTTCACCTTTGTTACAAAAT